TCACTGACCTCAGATGATGCATTCACTGACTGTAGGACTTCTGGCACCGACGGGCTGCACCTGAGTTCAATTAGATGAGTCACGTTAAAGTGGGTGAAAACTTATGCAATCACTTATTTTTACATTTTAATGAATTGACATTACTTTGTAGAAATCTGTTTTTATTTTTACATGAATTAGCCTTTTGTTGGAAAATCTTGTCCCAAAAGTCGAACCAAATCGAGCGTGACTCAATATTGAAAAGCAACGTAATGAGAAAACATCCAAGGAGGTGAAAGCTGCACCTTATATATAAATAGTACGGCTGTGTGGGTATTAACACACCCGAGGGCACAACTGGTCCACTGACCAGTTATTAAAGACAGTGGTCGTCTAATTGTTAGTTTAGTCACTTTAAGGAGTTGTTTGGTGTCTCAGAGCTGGTTTTAGGGTTCAGGTTGGAATCAGGTTTGTATATTCATGGTCCTCACAGAGATAGCAGTCCCAGTGTGTGTGAGACCCCCACCCCGGTGTTTTGTTAGCGGCAGGAAGGGAAAGGATTTCCTCTGCTTTACATTCCTGCTGTGCTCGCTCAGCCCGCCGTCTGACCAGCTTAACTATTAATTGCATCGGGTTGGTTCGGGATTGAAAGTTAACTCGGAAACTCTCACCAGAGCCAGCTCTCTAGATTTGGACCGGACCAGCTCATGAGTGAAGTATGTGGCTCTTCAGCTGCCAGATGCTGCACTGAGCTCAGCAGCTCCTCTCTGATTGCTGCACAGAAGCTGTTTGGAGGTTTGACTGTGAAAACACCTCACAGAGCAGGAACAGAACCAGAGAGCTGAACAATGAGCTGAAACTCACCGCGATGCTTCAAAAAGTCGGCTGGTTCATCAGCGCCACAGATCACTCTGTGAAGAAACTGAGTCAGCAGTGACGTGCACGGCTTCGCTTATGATCGACTCCCAGAGCTGCTGTCTGAGGAAACACTGCTGCACTTGTTGCATGCAGGAGATTTCTGGGAAATTATGTCAAAAGCCTGATGCACACGGCGAACTGAAGCCTTTCATTGTGCAGCCAAATGTTTCTGTTGGAGGGCCGGATTTGGAACTGTCGTCTGCAAAGGGAGAATTAAAATGTCAAGTCAGTTTATGACTCAGCAAAATCACTGCAAAGAGAGTTTCTATCTGATTGGCTGGGCACCGCTTTCCTGTGATCACAATCAGCTGTTTAGACGGACTTAGCCGCCACACCATCACGTTCCCATCACGTCTGAGGGATGTTTGTCTTTCTGGTGTCGATTAATGTCTCTTTGTGGTCATTTAGTGTCTGTTTGGGGGGTTTTGGTTCATTTAGTGTCTGTTTTGGTGCCATGTTTTGTTTCTTTGCAGTCGTTTTATATCTGTTTAGTGTCATTTTGCTTCTCTTTTGGTGACTTTGTGTAAACTTTATGTCTGATTGTCGCAGCACTACTTTCCTGTGATCACAATCAGCTGTTTAGACTCACTTATGTCACCACAATCAAGTTTCCATCATTTCTAAGGAATTTTTGTCTTTTTGGTGTCACTTTGGTGTTGTGATGACCCCTGAGGTCCTCTTGTATTTGTGGGTGGTTCTGGTTCTACTATTGGTTCTGTGAGTGGCTGCAGTCTAATATCTCTCTACTCTGCTTCCCTTTGCAGGTGTTGCATCGGTCTGGTTATGGGTTAGTTTCTTTGTTTAGGACGTTTGCATTTACACTTGCACAGACATAGTTCATGCATACATCACACACACACACACACACACACACCACTGACTCTATGTATTCTCACAACCCCATATTGGTTTGGTTTTTCATTTGATATAATTTAAGGGAATAAAGCTTTAGTTTTTGAACCTTGGTGTGTCTCTCCTTTTGTCTTGAGCCCGGTCATAACAGTGTTGATTTATGTCTGTTTGTGGTCATTTAGTGTCTGTTTGGGGGTTTTTGGGTCATTTTGTGTCTCTTTAGGTGACTTTGTGTAAACTTTATGTCTGATTGTCGCGGTGCTACTTTCCTGTTATTGTGATCAGCTGCTTAGACTCACTTACATCACCACTCTGCCCACACACAGTCCGGTTTCATCACTTCTGAGGACTGTACATTGACTTACATTCACGTCACGCAGACCCAACTGAACCTGAAACCAAGTCTTCACCTTAACATTCATCATCCACCTGATAGGGACGTTCTTCTGGTTCAACATTCAGGTTAAATCTCCTCAGTGTGACTGTGGAAACACACTCATGTCCCTACAACATGAGTAAGACCAGCTCACACACACTGACTGTCCCACACACGGATTCCTTTGTGGATTCATTGGCTGATTGGCATAATGTGTGTTTGAGAGTGTCAGGCTGAGGACAATGCAGCCGAGTGTTTGTATCTGGGTGTTTGTGAGAGTCCAGCGGAGCACAGAGACGGCATTGTGGGTCCGTCCCATAAGACAAAGCAGCGTCTTCAGGCGGGAGGAGGGTGGATGGATGCACCGATGCCATTAATCTGACGGGAATATGGTCAGAAATCAAGTTATCCTGATGCAGCGCCGTTCAAAACAAACTTACAGTGTTTTACAGCAGAGACGACAATTACATGGTTGTAAGTCAAAGGTCTGGATAAAAAACTGCTCAGAATGGTTTAAAAAAACAGTTTGAGATGCTGTTTTTAAAGTGGAGGAAACCTACAACTGTGAAGGTCACTCAGTAAAACATCAACGACTATTAGAAAGCTGTTTTACCTCAGATTGGATCCTGTCTACAGGCGGTTCTGGAAGGTTCTGGAGGTAAAACAGTCCTTTAATTCTCTAGAACTGGTTCTGACCAACCACCATCACACATGCTGATATGAGCCTGGACAGTTTACCCAGAATGCACTTTGTAAAGTTTCCTCAAACAGAAACACATCCTGGATACCAATAATACATGTAAATATGAATATATAATAGTGCAGATGAAGTATAAATTAAAAACAAAAACAAACAACAAAAAACAAAAAAACAGGCAGTAT